TGGTACCTTAGCATCACATTAGAGCTGCCGTGGGTCACCTGGTACCTCAGCATCACATTAGAGTTAATATAGATTACGCAGTAACGATGGTCAAAGTACTAGTGATCAGGTCTGGCTCACCGTCCTGCTCCCCACAGGTGCTGCTGTTCTGGTCTGGTTTCAGGAGGAGAACCTGGCTGTAGAGAGAATCCTCAGAAATCCTGGCCAGGCTCTCGGTACTCTCAGCCCACTGAGGCACCGCGTCGTGTCGACTGAAGCCTGTGGCCAAACAGGCCTTAGTTCCATTTCCGTCACTCAGGTAGAAGAAGGACGGCTCGAAGGACTCGCCTGGACACAGGACCACAGGAGAAGGACATGAGACGGGAGGACGGAGGACAGGGGAGGAGGACAGGGGAGGAGGACAGGGGACAATCATCCGTCTGTTTCACCTGTGTGAACTCTGAGTTGAACTCCCGACCCAAGAACCATTGTCCTGCTGTTGACGTTCACACTGTGACCACAGCCTCCACAAATACCATCAACAAATACCATCAACACACACACAAACAGTCCTGGGACTCTAGTCCTGGGACTCTAGTCCTGGGACTCTAGTCCTGGGACTCTAGTCCTGGGACTCTAGTCCTGGGACTCTAGTCCTGGGACTCTAGTCCTGGGACTCTAGTCCTGGGACTCTAGTCCTGGGACTCTAGTCCTGGGACTCTAGTCCTGGGACTCTAGTCCTGGTGTGAACTGGATTCACTTACGGCTCTGAACCGACAGTTTGGCTCCAGCTCCGAAAATAAGTTTTTGCATCGCAGTCGCTGACACACAGTGGCTAAAAGCTGAACATGAAACACAGCCTTTCAAAATAAAAGGGTTTTGTTGTTTACATTTAACGATAATAAAGTGTAAAACTATATATTTACATACAGACAGATATACCTGGGTATATATCCTCCATATCCTCCATATCCTCCCGTGTTTGGTGACGTTCCACCTGGTCTGGTCTACAGTGAGTCTGGTTCCTGGTCCACTACGACGATCGTCCGAAACCAAAACTTCTTCTGATTTGACTTTTAAAAAGTGAAGCTCGAAATAAAAAACGTCTTCAATCGTTGATGAAACAGAGAAAAACAAACACGAAGGACTCACTCGTTTGAACCAAAAGTTCTGACCCAGAACCGAAGACCAGTTTGGACCCAGAAAAACCAGTCACACAGTGAGCCGCACACACACACTAACACACACACACACACACACACACACACGTACTTTACAAGTATTACCACTAACAAGTGTGTACGCACATATATACACACTGAATACTTCTCAAGTACTTTAAATAATACTGCTTTGTAGAGTACTTGGACCATAGGTAGAATTGTAATACTATAGTGAGAATACTTGTACAATGGTTACTACAGTACTGTGAATACTACTGTTTAAACCAGTTAGTATAACTACTTTAGAGAAGATCTACTACTACTACTACTACTACTGAGAACTCCCTGGAGAACTGCACAGAGTACTATTTATGGTATCCTACCCACTGGGACAACTGCAGTACTTTTGACCCTTTAAACATTGTTTATCTCAGATAAAGTATTTGTGAGTAAAACTCACTCTGCTCTGTCGTTACTTTGACTCCTTTTCCAAACTGCAGTTTTCTGCTGCCTGTATCTGTCACACTGTGAGTATTTCCCCCACAAATACAGTACTCACAAATATGTTTTTGGTCTAACTGACCTGATGATGTCACTGACCTGATGATGTCACTGAACTGACCTGATGATGTCCTGATGATGTCACTGACCTGATGATGTCACTGACCTGATGATGTCACTGACCTGGACCCGTTACCACGGCGACACAGTCGTCCAGAAAATACATTTGATAGTACTGCTTAAAAACTTCCTCAAACCCGAGGAGTACTGCGAAGACTCCGTGTTCAGAACCAAAGTTCCATTTTCATCAGACAGGACGCGGAACCAAAACAGACACGGAACCGATTGTTGGTCAGACACTCACTGGTTTCTACGTCCACTTTGGTTCCTGGTCCAAACAGAAGTCTGGTAGTCGATGATGTCACACAGTGAGTACCACCTCCACAAAAACTCTCTCCTGTCAGAATCAAAGTACTCGAATACCAGAAGAACTGCAACCCTATAGTACTAGTACCACCAGCGCCGCCGTAGTAAAGACTTTAAATACTCACTGGGTTCTACTCTGATTCTGGTTCCTGCTCCAAACATCACTCTGTCAGTACCAGTAGTGACACAGTAGAAGGAACCCAGACAAATACTACAGAGTACTGCAGTCACTGACCTACAGCTACACCAACACTGACAACAGAGTACACCGACAACAGAGTACACCGACAACAGAGTACACCGACAACAGAGTACACCGACAACAGAGTACTGGTCCCTGGTCCCTGGTCC